AAAAAAAAAAAAAAGCTTTATTGACTTTATTGAGAGGAAGGGAGAGAGAAACATCCATGAGAGAGAAAAATTGATCAGCTGCCTCCTGCACGCCTCCCCACTGGGGATTGAGCCCACAGCAGTGACCTGATTCATGGTCCCACGCTCAACCTCTGAACCACACCAGTCGGGCTCCCCTCATGTCTCAAAACAGTTTGTAATTATTTTTTCTTCCCATTTTTGTGGTTAAGAATAGTATTTCCTCAGAAAGTTTCTAGATGAAATTATTTAGAATGGTACGTATGTAGCTGGTTTTTGAAGGTAAAGTTTTAGACGAGTATACTCGTCGACGACTGAAAAAAGAACATTTTGTGAAAACGTGTATACACGTTTCTGCCCGGGAAGGGGTTTTAATGAAGGTTCCAGGCCCTAGCAAAGAGAATCGAAGTAAAAAGATTTTTTCCTCATACATTGGTGTCCCATACAAAACTGGAATTCTGTTAATATGGAAGATAGAGAAATGGATATTGGATAGGCAACTAACACTATGTTCCATATTTACTTTTGCTTATTAGGACCCTAAATCGCAGTGAGATATGCCCCGTAGATCTGAGAAACCCTGTTGTTATGCACACTAAAATATGAGTTCCAGAGTTAACAAGCAATTTGGCCAACTCACACTTAGTCTAGACTCCAAATCTCTCCTACCGAACTGCCTAGGAAACCTGGAATAGAGAGGTAAAGACCCGTCAGGTACCCTGCAGACTTCAAAAGCCGGATTTCACTAAATTCAGAGAATGACCCAAGACGGAAAGGAAAGCCCAAGGTAGGAACCACTTAGCGCTGCTCACGATCCTACCCGGATTCATTTTTTTCAGTTGACAGGAAGTGAAGGACTATCCCACGTGCCGGAAGTGCCTTTTCAGGAGTACTTGGCTGTTATTGCAGCTCAGGTTTTCGTCTCTCCGCGCGACACTAGCAAGTAAGTAGGAGGGCTGCTGCCAGAAATGCAGGTTGGAAAGGGGGGCAATCGGGGTTGGCAGTAAACCGGAGACAAGGGCATTGTTGGGGAAAGTTCACCGAGGATCCGAGAGTTCAGACTCCATCTCCTTTTCTCCGATGTGGGCTCTGAGGCTTGCAGTTTGCAACTTTTTCTTTTGGGGCAGTGGAAATACTGAGCGTTTCGCCTGAATTGAAGCGGATTAACCCTTGGGTCTGTTCTTAATTCCCTAACCAATTGGCCGCCCCCGGGTTTTAGGCTATCCTTTATTCGCTTGAACTCACGAGTTGGAAAACACATATATCACAGTGCATAGAGAGTTCCAAATCTGGAGAGAGCGCTGGGATTTTAAGTGGGGTGGTTCAGAAGGCCCTTAAGCAGGTGATTTTGCATAAAAGTGATTGTATGGGCCCTGCAGAGAAATGTATGTCTGGGAGTTACGAGGTGTATGTGGTGGGTGTCATTTTAAGATCTACTCAGAAAAAAAAAAAAGATCTACTCAGAGGCCCAGGATAACTTAACTCATTACTTGCTTCCTATGTATAGAATGACATTGACAGTATACAGGAATTCCCAGATTTGTGATCAAAAAATTAGTTCATTGCCTTGGTTAGAGCGTCTTTCCCACAGTCAAGGTTGTGGGTTCCATCCCAAGTCAGGGCACATACAAGAATGAGTAAGTGGGACAACAAATCAATGTCTCTCTCTCCCCCGCTCTCTAAAACTCAGTAACTAAAAACAACAACGCACAAAGAAGTTAGTTCATTAAAATTGTTAATGGAGAGGCAACTGTGGGCTTGGGATTTAAAAAATAAATTGGTTTGTGATTTTTTTAGACACCTCATTTTTCTGGTTAAGAGTGGGGGACACATACAAACAAAAAAACGGGGGAAAAAGAACAAGGAATGGGACATAAGACATATGGATTCATATTCTCAGTCACTTTACTGGTTACTTAAATTATGTACGTAAAATAAATCAATAATAAAAAAGCATTAAAAAAGAATAAGGAGGAAATAAGAATTTAAAATTTTAAAATATA